TTATGTAGTTCCAATTCCTGCTGATTTTCCAGGACAACTTTTTATTCGTAGAGCAATTACAAACAAAATGCTGAAAAACAAAGAAACAATTCTGCCAGAAATTATGCATTTAATACCGATGCTTGGTCCTCTTCATTTAACTTTAAATTTAAAAGAAACTATTATGCATATATATTGGAGATTTTTTAATCTCATATATAAAAAAGTTTTTAAAAAAAAACAAAAATTAGCTGACAAACCCAAACCATGGCGAACTGATTTGTTATTATATCTTACATATTCAGGATGGAAATTAATTAGAAAACATATTATTGAAAAATTTAAAAATACAAAATCAATTGGATATATTACATTTATAGATTTGCTAGATAATTTAATTCCTGTATCTCTAGATATCTATGCAATATTATTTCGTAATAATCTTTTTGATGAATATATTTCAGCTGTATTTCGGATATGGTGTATAATGAGACGTTTTAATCGACATAATTATGACAAAATTATTTTAGCATTTCTATCAGATATCTACTATTGGAAGTTAACAAAACATAAAATAGTAGATATAATGAAATGTTCATTAAACATGTTTGATGAGTATCCAATCGAAAATTTCTATAGTTTATTAAGACGTCAAACTAAAGATAAAGTTAATACACCACATACTATTCGGCGTGATGCTATATTTGTTGATAATTTACGGAATGAGGATACATTTGTTGATTTTTTTGTTCCCAAAAAAGATTATCCTTATAAAAAAAAGGATTTAGATGTTTTAAGCAAAAGTACTGCAATTTTCCTTTTGGAATTCTTTAGTCAAATTTGGAATAACGATTATGTAGAAAAGAAAATTGAAGGAACAAGAGTTAAAAAAATTTACTACTATTTTTCAAATATATCATCACGGTTTTCATCTGGTATCTTACCATTAGGATATCATTCATTAACACCTCCAAAACAAGAAAAATTTTGTGATCGGATTAATTGCAACAAAACTGATATAGGAACTGGACAAGTGCTTATTTGTGGTCACGCATACCATGATGAATGTTTTAAAATTATGGGATTTTATTGTGATTCTTGTTTTAAATATCTTTGTCATTCTATTGATGAATTAGCTAATTCATATAACGAAAGATTACAATTAGATGAAAATTTAAATGAAAAATTAGCCGAAGATAACAATAATAAAAATGAAGATGTAGATTTATTTGATACATTAAATATAGATTCAAATATAGATGATAAATTA